ACTTCAAAGCCGTCTGCACGCATTGAAAGATGGGTTTTAAGACTACAACCGTTCAACTTCAAGGTATGCTATGTAAAGTCCAGAGACAACATTGCTGATGCCCTATCACGACTGACAAAGCAGACATCGGGAGAGTATGGCAAGCATGATGATGAATATGTTCGTATGGTCGCAACCCAAGCTGTACCTGCAGCACTCAATATTAAAGAAATAGAACATGCCTCAGCAGAAGACAAGGAGTTACAGATGGTTAGAGAGTGTCTTGTTAGTGGAAACTGGAACAGGGCGCCAAAAGAGTATGTCGTTGTTAGAAATGAGCTGACTTACATCGGAAAAGTCATCCTTCGTGGGAGCCCAATTGTTATGCCGACAAGCCTCAGGAAACGTGTCACAGCTTTAGCTCACGAGGGCCATCAGGGGATAGTAAAGGCCAAAGAACGACTTAGATCTAAAGTATGGTGGCCAGGAATGGATCGTGACGCCGAAACGAAGTGTAGAGAGTGCCACAGTTGTCAGGTGGTGACTAGGCACTACAGCTTACCATCAGTAAAGTCAACAAAAATGCCAGATAAGCCGTGGCAAGATCTTGCGCTGGATCTACTTGGACCCTTGCCTACAGGAGAGCATCTTGTTGTCTTGACCGATTACTTTAGTCGCTGGGTGGAGGTAGACATTGTACGATCGACTGTAAGTAGAGTGATTATCAACCACCTGGATAGTCAATTCGAAAGACACGGGGTTCCCAGGACACTAAGAACTGACAACGGTCCTAATTTAGTATCCGACGAGATGGAGGGGTACCTCAAAGAAATGGGAATCTCCCACAAGCTGACGACGCCCCTATGGCCAAGGGCGAATGGGGAAGTAGAGAGACAAAACCGTTCTCTACTGAAAGCTATGAAAGCCTTCCATGTCGAAAAGAAGGACTGGAGAACAGAATTAAACAAGTATCTGCTAGCGTATAGATCCACACCTCATTCTACAACTGGGAGGAGTCCAGCACAGCTACTCTACAATCGAGGACTGTCTTCCAAATTACCAGATGTAATTAAACTTGAACAAGAAGATATGGATCACCAGGACATCAGAGACCATGACGAAAGAGAAGAAACAAGCAATTGCTGATCATGCAGACAAGAGAAACAGACCCTTTCAAGTTGGAGAACTACAAACAGGTGACCTTGTTCTTTTGGAGAAGAGGAAGGAAAATAAGTTAACACCAGCTTATGAAGAGAATCCATACAAGGTTACAGCCCGGTATGGAGACCAGCTTCACTTGTGTTCACCTCAAGGGGTTACCTACAAGAGGAACATTGGACATGTTAAGAAATACAATCAACCCAACCAAGCTGAACCAATGGAAACACCTGCAGAAATACCAACGGGGATGAACAAGACCATCACCCTACTGCAGAGTCACAGTCGTTGAGTCCAAAGGAAAGCCATGAGATGGCAAACCAGAGTCCAAGTGAGGATAGTCAACCTGTACCTGCACCAAGCAGAAGATCAGGAAGAGTCACCAAGACTCCAGACCAYTTTAAAGACTTTGTTATGAAATAGAAGATACTTATACCAAGGAACCACAAGAGCTTTTTGAACTGTTGTTATTGATACCTTTATTACTATAGAACACTGAACTTTGATATCCTTATTATTAGAGTGAAGGCATTGAACCCGTGAAATAAAAGTAAATACTTAAACTGTAATAGTCAAATAGACACAAAAGAAAACAATGGAATTATCAAGTAATAACATGTACTAGTGAAATATGTATTTCACGGGTTCATTGACTTCACTCTACCATGAAACATGATATTAACATTGATTATGCTTTAGTTATATCGTAAACAATGATGTAATTTTGTCATGTGCATTCCTTTGAAGAAAAGGGGGGAATGTAGTGTAAAGTTATTGTATACGCTTTGTTTTATATAGTATTTCCGTTTCCGTTTAGTAGTTCGTTTCCGTTTCCGCTTTAGCTTTAGTTYCGTTGTCATTTTAGTTTTCCCGCGTGTATTCTAGTTCTTTGTATTATCAGTTTTTTGTACTGTCCCACGAGAATTGTGTTCATGTAAATTCGCTTAGTATTAGTTTTCTCTCGTCTTCGTGTTGTATATCATTCTGTGTGGAACTGCGAATTGCGCTGCTAATTTTGTACTTGGAGTATCGCCTTTGTGTGGGACAGTCGGTAAGTTTCGTTTTCGTTGTATTTGCTTGTAATCGTTTCTATAATATAGCTTGTATCGTAACTAGCGTTTTCTCTGTATTTGTATTGTAGTTTTACGTCTTCGATATTCATTAAAATAGTCAGTAAATACACGTCCCGAGCCTAGCTTGATTGCGTTTGACGATACTCCGCTACATGTAGTGTTTCGGGTTACCTGTGTAATCACGTGACAAGAACGTTGAGTAAACGTGTGTTCAAGCAACCAATGTGTTGTGTAATTTGTATCCTTTGTGGAGCAGTTTTATAGCCTTAGTGGCACATTACAGCCTCAATTAATGAAACTATCAACTAATTGCATGTTGAACCATTTGCAAGTTATTGAAATTTACAACCGAAGTCGTCCTGGCATGCCTTCCTGTTTTCGGATATGATAGGAAACCTCAAATATCGTTTCCGCTATAATGTACGAACTTGCCAATTTTGATAATGCTTGGTTGCTTTCACCAGTTGTTGAGTTTGGACTATAGTGAAGAACTGGACTCCTGGTTCACAGATAAGATTAGAAATGTCTGTATATTTCTGAAGTCGTTGAGCTGCCGTAAAGTTTGTTCTAATATATCGATAAACCTACAGAAACGTGACCTTAATTGGCAATCTTTTTTCTTCCCGGAAAACACTTGTACATTGTGACATCAAAGCAGTGAATTCTTACAAAAGCCCTGCTTCCTCTAAAACACCTTTCCTCTTCTATTTTTCTTCCTCACCTTTCTGTCATGCAGTTTCAAAAGTTTATTCCATTATTATTAAAGTATATTCCATGCTTTCATTTCATAGTAGTTCTTGATAACGGATCAGCGTTCTGTTGTGGTGATGCTCCTGAACGTTGGTCTACTTTAAAATCATATTCTTGCACTTTTTCGAAACAGTGGTCTATCTTCCATCTAGGCTCTTTAAAGGTCATCTTTCAATAAGTGTGTTATTCTCGTTTTCCACAACCACTAATGGTTGACTTCATGATTGTCAATAAAACTATAACACGTTGTAGAAGATTGACTGTTCACAGTTGTAAACTACCGAGAACGTTGATAGCCAATTCAAACCGAAACTTCTTATTGTTGAATATAGAACTTTTGACTTCGCATACAAATTGGTGTTTTAGACCATGTGACCTCCCCCTAAAAGTGGTTTCTTTATTTCAAAGTGTTTTAACAAATGTATTCATACGAAATAATTGGACATGTTGGTCTTTAAAGTGTGAAAATTTACACTGATGCTAAATAAGTTTATTGTAAATGTCACTTGTATATGAACGATTTATGATTGAAAAATCTTCGTGTGTTTAATTGTTTCCTATGATTGTGTTTCATATTGCAGTATTGTATAATTCCATACCTGGYATTTCTTTGTAAAGTGACTTTTTCGGTATTGGTAATATAAGGTCTCCTTCTTTAYYTTTGCGAATTCCTACACTCAAATGATCATGACCGTCCTTTGATTGCATTGAAGCTATGAATTTGTAGATCACGCATCTAGACAAATAAACACTTTTCTTGGATGGCATCCTGGYAAGAGAGAAAGCATTTGCAATCAAATTAATGAGTGCTTCTCACTTGAACGGGTTGTCAGAGAATAAGGAGAATGCACGACTAAAAGTACTTGCATCAGCTATATGTAATGCAAAGCGTGTATAAAATCGCAGCCAGTTTTGTAAAGGCTGAATAGCATTGTTTACTGACAAGCCATATGGGAGTTTAAGCGACATGGATACGTTTGCAGTGATAAAAATGATTATTCATCACAAGCGAATTATCATTTTGTCTCATTGATCTCTTTGTCATTGTATTTTGTTTATCTCGGAGCGTGCAACAAAGTGTGAAACTACGATTTTGCTTATTAAGTGGCCGAATTTCATTTCGTTCTCCAACACAACGGAAATAGACAAGAAGAGCATCCAGAGTTTACAAATGCCTATAAATTCAAAAAGAAATCAAGAGGGTACTTATGATAAGAATATTACATCTTAAGTCTTTTTCTTCTCAGGCCCGTAGCTGCACCCATAACTGAGAAGCGGGATCTGGTTACTCAGTAGGAATGATCTCTACCATCTGGAAATTTCAAAAAAAGATGGCGAAATCTTCTAAATCACAGAAGGACATCGATCCTTTGGTCAGACAAGATGCGATCCTAATGCCGAAATTGTTTTTCTGCTGGAAGTCCGGAGGTTTCAAAAATTTCCGAACCGTTTTTTTCTTAAAAAACCGGACTGGACATTTTTGTTTGTGGATGGAATATGTACGAGCTCCCCCAAATCCTAGCCTACGGGCCTGCTTCTCTTGTTTAAAATGTCAAACTAGTTAAGAGGGCAATTGTATTTTTAATTCTATAACGTAGTAACGAAGACATTTCTTGCTTCTAAATGAACTTACATCTTCTCTTCGCTTGTTGCTTCTTTCGCGCGTGCAATTTCAAGTATTGTTATTATATGCTGAGTCAGAATGACATCGTGTGTTGTTCTGTAAATTAACTTGCATTTGTCGTCACAATTTAGATAAAATATATAGAACCCACTTTCAGGAACCTATCAAAAGAACAATAAATACTTTATATGCCATGTTTTCCAATGATTTGATTTGATTTCTATTTAACTGATGTGTACTGGTCCAAACATTAAGGCCAAAGTTTGTATAATATATACTTTGCCTGCCTGATTTTAAAAGTTCAAATTTAATGCAAAAATTGTTCTGTTTTAAATGTAGTTCTTTGCCATTTTTTAAAAGTGATTGTGCCATTGATTGATTGTGACCGAAACTTGAGGATATCTATAGGTGCAAACGCTGAAATTGTTGAAATTTTAGTATTTTTTTTTTATTTCAAATGGTTGAGAGACTATTTTCGGTGTTTCTTATTAATTTACAGCAACGAGCTAAAACCTTAAGGAGCGCATACATACCTGCATATACGCCGTCAAGTGTTGACCGAAGTTGTCAAGGACATTCTGAGGTGCACTGAAATCATGTATCACATCCGTGAAGTCAGGATTAAGTGAAATAGTGTTTTGTTTCATAAAATTGTCAAAATTTAGATTTCTTGTTGGCAATAGCCATACGTGTTGAGTGACGCCATGTAGATCATCTAAACCAATAAATATATAACCATACTTAAAGTTATGTCTTCAAAGTCAATGAATAAACATATTTTAAGATATCAAAATAGAATCTATTATTTCACTATGTGATGAATCGTTTATGCACGCTTATAAATCTTAATTCATTAATATCGTTAAACGAAAAATATCAATCTGTCTTTCTGGGTGTCACTTATTTGTACTTGCAGCTATCAAGGGTTTGTTATAAAATATTTTCGAAAGCTAAATGGCTTTATGGTCCTTGAGAGACAATAGTCAACAAAATAATAGTTATTTCAAAGACGAGAATCCAGGAGAGGAAATGTCACAGAAAAACTAATTTATAGCTATTTCAAAAAAGGTTGTCGGATAAAACATAGTTAGTAACTATGGATAAAATGCCGAATGTCAATCGTCGAACGGCGATTGCGCGACCGAAAGTAGCCAAGGCAATAACAACTGATTTGTACTGTAAGATGGTCTGTGGTAAACAGTGGCTCCATTTGGTCTCAATTTCTATGTAAGGTGAATCCAATAAGTGAGATTTTGTTTATCAATACAGTGTAACCATAGTTCCTTTCGGTTGTGCAATCTTCCTTCGACAGTCACCGTTTGCCGTTCTCCCCGACAACGTTTTTTGAAATAGCTGTATATCATATATTTGGAGCAGCTTTTTGTTAATAATAATAAATTTATCTGGTATTAGGTTCCGTGTATTTTTGAGCATTGGTGGTTTTATTAAATTAATATGATTAAAAGACTTTGGAATGGAATACTCACCAATACTGAAAATCTCTACTTCGCAAATTGCAAAAGAAGTATTCAAGTCTGAAGTGTTTACTTTTAACTGTATTGTACGTTTCCATGGAGAGCATTTAAAAATGAAGTGCTCATCAAATTTTCCTTTTCCAGTCCGAATGCAATTTTCTTGTCTGTTTTGGATATCTGTTGCTATTACTTGGAAGCGGCGTTGAATGTTACAACAATCGTCATGACTTATGATGTTAACTTTATGAATGCGCAAGGATTCTTTCAACTCTATTTGGAGATATGCCTTTTCTGCCTGTCGATACAGTGTAAATGATCAATGAGTTTGCTAATACTTTTTCGAGATTTTACATGTCATCCTTAATTTAACTCACTGAACTAATGAAGCACGTTTCCAGCATTCCATCTACTGCATGTCTTGAGTCGAATCCAGCTTGTGAATTTGAAGACTTCACTGCACTATTGAATGCTCTGTTCACTTAAATGATGTAAAACAATGACACACTGCATTACTGATACGTACGTTGTACGCTGTGTCTATATGGCCGGTTACCGGTCAAGGTCTGAAAAATGCTAAATGGCCGGCAGCCCATAAAATGTGTCTTTTCCCTCTCTTATTATCTAAAGGAGCTTTCAAAATCCAAAATAAAACGAGTAAAATTAGCGTGTTAAAACTTACATAAACGTCGCGCCGAAATTCGTTGCAATTGAAACAACTGCCGGCCACGCAACAACGAAATCCTTAATGGCCGGCAGCCCGTCAAATAACATATTTCTCTTTAATTATTCTTATTTAAAGAGTTAAAACAACATAATCAACATTTCCGAAACTTTCATGGTACTGTAGAGACATTTTCCTATTCGAGAAAAATCTCAACCAACACGGCGGACTGCCGGTCAAGCAACGTCGAAATCCTATGTGGTATTAAATACGACTCTAAATTGGGGTTCTTGTATTCTTTTACTGAACTACAAACTCACTCACACGACTACTCAACATCACACGCCGCATGCTCGAGTCCATAGTCCTTTGCGGTAAACACTTGCATAATTTACATAATTTATGCTACACCTAAATGGCCGGCAGCTCATAAATAACAGATTTTCTTTTCCATGCATCTTTTATTATTCAAATTTAAGAGTTAAAGTATTATTGCCAGTTCCAACTGTAAGTACATTACTCTATCCGAGAAAAATCTGCATTCTTTACTAGGATTACAGTTCATGTTCAGAGGGTTATGCTAATGTTGCATTATAATGATATATGATGATAATGWTRTATGATGATAATGTTGTATGATGATAATGTTGTATGATGATAATGTATTGTGATGATAATGTTGCATGATGATAATGTTGTATGATGATAGTGTTGTATGATGATAATGTTGTATGATGAAAATGATGTATGATAGTCATACAACATTATCATACAACATTAATATATTGTAATGTTGTTACTCACCCCACCCCCGGAGGGGTCCTATGTTGTACAGACACGTGCGTTCAGGGATGTAACACATGTAAGATCAAGAATGAAGTAAAGGTTTTCTATTTGTGTCTATTCCGTTCATGACCTCTTCACGTTATTACAATATACAATATTTTCATCATACAATATTATGATCATACAACATTATCATACAACATTATCATCATACAACATTTTCATCATACAACATTTTCATCATACAACATTTTCATCATACTACATTATAATCATACAACATTATCATCATACAACATTATCATCATACAACATTATCATCATACAACATTATTATCATACAACATTATCATCATACAACATTTTCATCATCATACAACATTATCATCATACATCAATGCTATAGTTCTCTATTCTAAAATATTTAGGATACTACGCGCGCTGTGATTGGTCGAAAACCATGTTTGATTACATTATCAAAACACGCTCGCRCGCGTCAAAAATTTCTTTTTTCCCGCCGTTTGCATTTGTTGTTGTTATCATTCATTTTCAAGAACAATGAACGAAGAAACGCCTATTTATGATGTCCTCTGGGATGATATCCCAGAAGAAGAGCTATCAAACGTTTTAGAAGCTACAGAAGCTGCAGACAACTGCAATGTAAGGAGAATTCATCGTTTCATATCGTATCAAAAGTCAGAATTCTTTACAATTTTCGTATTCTTTTAATTTTAGAAAAGAAATAAAAGACGAAATTCCGTGTTTGATACTCTGATCAAAACACTTGGGATGTAGGGAGAGCACTCGAAAAGCTGGAAACCACTCCGCTACGCGTCGTGGTTTCCTACGCTTCTCTCGTGCTCTCCCTACATCCCGCGTGTTTTGATCAGAGTATCAAACACGGAATTTCGTCTTTTATTCCTTAACTAAAGTCTTATTTCATCAGGATAATGATTCCACTGCATATGAGCTGTGCTGCCACCCAGCATAACCCTCTGAACATGAACTGTAATCCTAGTTATCAAACTCATTAATAATTCATAATGTCATAAGCCAATGATATACTGAGAATCTAATCACGTGATTATACCTTTGTATTGTATAAAAGGTGCAGCAAGCTCAAAGTTGGGGGCGACTTTGAATATTTTCAGGGGAGTGCGGGGCTGATTATCACACAACGTTTTCCTGATACAGACCTAATTAACAAAACATTAGTTCTGTATCAGTGATACAGAACTAATGTTTTATTAATTAGGTCCGTATACAGAACTCGAGAGCGTGTTGTGTCGGGGCTAAATATCACCCGATACAACACGCTCTCTCGTTCTGTATACATTATTATAAAATTTTCGATATATAACGCGCGCTTTGATTGGCTGACGACCGTGTTTATATCAGAGGACAGAGACACGGCTTACCGGCAAAATTTGCTTTTCGCTCGAWAAATTTTATATAAGAAATATAAAACGGCGCGCGTGCCTCTGTCCTCTGATATAAACACAGTGGGAGTTCGAAAAACACGAGAGAAGCAAGCTTAGGAACACGAGCGTAGCGAGTGTTTCTCTTGCTTCTGGAGTGTTGGTTCGATCAAGTTCGCACAATGTCTCTAAGTGCAACAAATTTCGGCGCGACGTTTATGTAAGTTTTAACACACTCATTTTACTCGTAGAGTTTTTTTGGAGTTTGGAAGCTCGCTTAGATGATAAGAGAGGGAAAAACACATTTTATGGGCTGCCGGCCATTTAGCATTTTCAAGACCTTGACCGGTAACCGGCCATATAGACACAGCGTACTTCGAAACTTCAATAATAATTAATTGGTATCCGGTCGTTTCGATCCAAAGACGTTTCGATCCAAGTTGTTTCGATCCATTTTTAGGACGTTTCGATCCACTGTTAGGACGTTTCGATCCACTTATATAACAACTCAAAATACATAAGTATTACTACAGATATGTCACAAAAAAAGTTTTAAACTGTAATCTATGACTTAGCATGCAATTTTAATGCGAAAATTGAGAGCTAATCATAATCACTTCTATTTTGAAGATCATGCAGGTTTTTAGCTTATATGTTATTCAACATAATTTTACAGGATAATTTGAAAAGGCTGGAGGCACATAGATGGTC